AAGTCGACTGACTCTTGAAGTACACTGGTTGCTCCTTCCACCAAACTAACCTTCCACCTTCTCCCCATCACTTCATCTCCCCACCCACCTCCTTTGCCACTTTGAACCAAGGTAATTTAAATGATTATAGTATTTTGAGAAAAATTTTAAGGGCCTGTTCGTAGTTCAGATTCACAGTGCTTCGAAACAACAGCTTGATTCTCCTCTTCATCCTGCAATAGAGATGGAATTTTGCTTTCTTCTGATTGAGACTCAGCTTATAATAACTTTAATCACATAATGTTTAACTATATTTGTTATACCACAACACTTGGTAACACTTCATTTTGAGTGTTCCAGCATTATTAATTCATTTGGTATTCATTGTAATAACACAAATCATAATGAACTCATTTGGTATTCATGTGGATGGCGTAAGTACTTCCACAGGAATTCTACTGCATTTCAGCATTAATTAAACACACTCCCTAATTTTCTTAGGAAAAACAGGAATATACAATATTTCCTAAGTATTGGGTCTTTCATAGCATTAGACACTGAGCTGATTATTATATCAGACATTGCTTTATCTGTATACATCTTTACGAACATATTTTACATGCAAGACAGCTTACAAACCAAGATCAGTGTCTAGATTTGTAGATCACAATACGTATTCTTAATACAAACATTTCACGAATGCAGAGAAGTGATATTTACAATCACATTTCTCATGCAAAGAAGGAAGCAGCCCTATGTTAATTTCCAGCATCTCAAAGAAAGATAACATCTCTCTTTAAATGCAAATAAATAACCAACATCGAGAAAGCGAAAGCTGTCAAGCAGAGAGAGCTTTGCTTGGTGGCATTCTTTCCCTGGCTGCTGGTGCTCATGCCTCTATATTTGCCATTGTGTATGCAACTTGTGTGATGTCATTTGCTCCACCAGGAAAAAAATACCAGCCCCCATTAGCATCCTGAGCTAGCAAAATGAAATGGCTTATCAAAGAATAGTATGAAACCATTTTAAAGAGAGAGCTCCCAAAATTTACTAACCTTCAACCATGTCAAGGTTTCAGAAGATACTGCACAGGCTTTTTAATGTGTTCCTAAGTAGCTGATCCTGTTCTCTTTTCTGCCAGCAGTGATAACATTGCAGAGTCCTATCTTAATCATTTCTTATATTAAAGAAAAATAATGGTGCTTGAATTGAGTGTATATGTGGTTCTGTTGTTTCATCTATAAGCACCAAGGGGTTCCTATGCTAATGTGAGTTGTTTTTTTATTGCTGTGTATTTGTTTCATGGGGGGGGCACGTAGCATTTGTCTGGAAACTGAAATCAGGCAGCAGCATTGGGAAGTAAACCCTTGTACAGTTAATTCTGCAATTTTAAGAGTACTGTGGGGGAATTATTTAACTCTGAAAGCATCTGAATGTGCCTTAAAGGAGGACATTCTAGATAGCGCTTAAACTTCATCATTATTGGTTTAATACTTTTCATTTTTTGATATGACTAGAAAACTATCAGTTAAAGGGCTACACCTCTGCTAGAGAAGCTCTCTCAGTGCTGTGCTGGGTTTGTAACAGTTCTCATTGTTTCTTTAGGAACCCTAGATTTTTAGGGGCCGGGGAGATGGCTCAGTGGAATAAGTGCTTCCCTGGCAAGTGCAAGGGCCTGAGTTCAATCCCTGGTTCCACCAAAAAAAAAAAAAAAAAAAAAAGAATCATAGATTTTAAAATATTTTAAACTGACATTAGCACCTCATGATCCCCAAAGAGAATATGAAAAGGAGGAGCATGCCGTTAATGAAGATGTTCATTTTTCCAGTCCGGTTAGGGATCAGCAGTTATTTTCTCGCAAACTCCAGGCAATGAGAATAGAAAATTGAGTTCACAATTCTACAGTAGTATGAGCCAGACATGTGTTTTTCTCTTATGGATTGTAACTCCTGTTACACTTAATAAGCACTGTACTTCAAAGCGTGGGGAGAGCAGGCAGATTTCTGTTCTGCAGTCTGCAGAATTATGGACTGCTCACAATCTGCCTGACACTTGGGTATAGTGGGGAAGGTTAAAAATGTTTCCTCTTATGAATTCTAGTCTTTGGTTGATTTCCATATTCAAGGAACTCTTCGCATATACAAAAGAGCACTTCAAAGGTATGCGATGCATTTGTTTGTTTGTGTAGTTTACAGATCTTTCTAGAGATCAGTCCTTATTAATCTTTGCATTGAAATACCTTTAGTGTGCCAGTGCGAGTTACCTTAGTGCTGCCTGTTTAATGGTGGCAGATTTTGTTTTGCCACTAGTCACAAGCAATTTAATTAGCAACACAAAATAGCTGCCTGCTTTATTTCCCCCCTAAGTGGCTGTTCCTTGTCTAAGAATAAGAAACTACCACTATAAAAATCCCTTTCTTTGAGCTGTCTCTAGTGAAACTTCCCAATTCCACTGATCCCACTTGTTTCTCTGAGCTCGCGCTAAAACAATTTATTCTTTCTTTCTAAACAGACCTTTAGGTATGCAAGGCCGTTTGTAAATTACATGGTGCTGGCAATATCATGAAATATCATGACTACAGTTTATGGGCAGATGAAGGGGGATGAGTTGTAACAGGAATAAATTACACAAGATACACTGGGGAAAGGACAGGGGGACACTGGTGCCAGCAAAATTATTAAACTTTAGAGTGGTACTTAATGAGGACCCTAAATTAAGTGACCTTGTGAATGGATGGACATAGTGATCAGGATTCTCAGGAATTATCTGCCATTATGTAACAGAGAAATAAGGGGGCACAGTTCAGAAACTAAGACTAGAAAAGGACAGGTGAGCCGAACACTAGCAAACACAGAAGCTTTACTGAAAAAGCAATGATCCCTTTAGAATCATCCTGAATGTACTAGGTAAAATCACATGCTGTTGAAATTAATGTAATTTGTGGTCTGGGAGGGTGCATTTCAGACCCAGTTTTGGTTTTTTACAAATGTATCCAGCTGAATGAGTAAGAGCTCACAGTGTCTCTGTAATTAATACAAGGTTATGAAGTGCCCTGAGAACTAAAAAACTAGTCACATGCTATAGATTTCTCTTTTTGTCTTACTTAACCTATCTATAAAATGGGGTGGCAAATGCTGACTAGTATTTGCAAATGAAGCGAGAAATTATGAATAAGTTAGTAAATACAGATTAGAAAACTAGCATATCTATCTATTATCTATCTATCTATCTATCTATCTATCTATCTATCTATCTATCTATCTACCATCTTCTATCTATTGCATGCTAGTTAGTACCTTGTTTAGTGAAACAGAATTAACATGTAATAAAATGTCCAAAGCTTAGACATACAACCCAGTGCACTTTTACAGTCATGTGTACTACTATGGTCAGTTACCAGATTCACACTGTCATTGGCCCAGAGGGTTTCCTTGTATCCCCACACATTCCATTCGCCACCAGAGCTAGTCACTCTTCTAATTTCATCACTGTCGATTAATTGCGAACATTCTTGAACTTCAAATATTAACCATAGCATAGAGTATGTACCCCTGTGCCTGGCACCTTTCAAACTCAATATAACTTGTAACTCTGCCATCATCCTCTGTTATTAGAGATTGAGTGAGGAACATAGGATTATTTGGAGTCTAAATTCTGACTCTAAAGGTGTTCCATAGCCTCACCACTCCTCTCTCTCTCTCTCTCTCTCTCTCTCTCTCTCTCTCTCTCTCTCGTTTCTTGTATTCTGTTCTGCTCTGCCCAATGATTAAGAGTGTTGGCTCTTTCAGCCCTAGATTGGACACTTGTTTTCACTCCACCAGTACCACTTATGGAATGTTCAGTAACTTGCTCAAAATCTCTGAGTCCTACTTTCCTAATTGGAAAAGTGAGATGAATAATTACTTTGTGTGTGTGTTGGGAGACCCAAATCAGATAATCCACATCAAGTGGTCTTGTATAATTCTGACTTCTCAATGACAAGATTAAGACCAGTCTAGAACCAAAGGAAAAATAAAGAAGGCTCTGTAGGCTTGCTCACAAGAAAAACAGGTGAAAGTATTAAAATTTACAGACTCTGAAAACAATAAAAATAAATGACAACCAACCCCAAACCAGCCTCACCACATCCCAGGAGAGTAAAGCAGGCTCCTAATGATTGCTTACTACAAAGTACATCTTTGTCATTGTGGATCATTTCCATATAAGGAGACCCTATTGTAAAATATTCATTTACATGAATTTACAGTTACCACTGCATATTAGTTTATTTTGAAACAACTATCAGTAGGAAGAGATAGATTTTAGACCTAGAAAGGAGTTTATAAATCACTCTGTTTATCCTCATTGTGGAGGCAATGACAAGGCAAGACACCTTTGTTGCTTCAGTTCAATGTAAAAGACAAGATTTCTGTTTGATAGTCCAGGCAATTGGTTCCTAAGTATAGTTCTTGACCAAGTGGAAATAGCAGTTCTTACTGCTCATGGGACGTATTAGAAGCACAAACTTTCAGGCTACAACCAAGACAGACTAAACCAGAAACCAGGTGATTCTTCCTTGTTCATGTGGGAACCCCATTTACAAACTTGTTACTACAAAGATGATTTGGGGAGCAGCAGTATTCACTAAATGAGAAAGCTTCTTAGCCATGTAGAACCCCAGACCTCAGATCCACCAAATCCCACCGCTTAATAAGATCCTAAGTAACATGTCTGAAGTTAAAGCCACAAATAGTGATCTAGACCAGCCATAATCAGGCACATAGGAGACAGAATAGTGTACAAGGACCTGTACTATATTCTGCCACCAGAGTCCACAGACCTAGTCTTCTCCCAGTTTTATCCTGAGGCTCGTTGCTTCTCCAGGGAATTAGTCAAAAAAACTTCAACTATAACCACACTGAACAAGAATGTGCTGAGTTAACTCCTCAGAACCAAAACCAAAACCAAAACCAAAACTAAAAACAAACCAAACAAACAAAACTCTAATCACAAAATAAAAATTATTTACAATATAAAAACAATTATCCGTATTTTGCCTGTAGGTAAAATGAGTTTTCAAAGAGTTGCCTGTCTCCCAACATCCTGCCATTCGGAGGTAGAAGAATTGGGGTAAAATCTTTGCTCTTTAAACTGGATCCTTGTTCTCTAAACTGGATCCCTATTCTCAATAGATTAAACATCCTATTAATTATCTAAAACAGGATTGGCTTATAAGGTCTTTCACCAATTTTAACCTACAGGAATCTTAAAATTTCTAAGTTTGTCTATAGATATAAAAACTTGAAGGTACTTATATCCTTTCTGTGGCACGGGGGTTGGAATCTATGTCTTTGCACATAGTAGGCAAGTGCTTCATTACTGAACTATAACCCCAGCTCTTTTTTGTTTTGTAATTTTTCTTTGAGATAGGGTCTCACTAAGTTGCAAGGCTAGCCCCAAACACTTAAACCTCCTGCCTCAGCTTCCTGAGTAGCTGGAGGTTACAGGTGTGTGTTACCACACCAACACTATTGTTCAATTTGGAAAAGGGACTTTAATGACAGCACAAGGGTAACAAACCAGGCCAGTGCTTCCCAAACCACCTATGATGAAGAACTTGTCTACTACTATCTCAATCTGTCAATATATGAATACATTTCTGTAAAATACAGGAAAATGAATTAATAGCACAGTTAATCTAAAAGGCAAAATACAAGACAGCTTTTAAAAGTACTCAATAGTTGTGAAACTACAGTGTCACATTGCTATAAAAAAGCATTTTAAATGCTTAATCTCAATTTCTTTGCTTATATTGTCATGAACAAGGAATAAACAATTACAGACTGACATTCTTCTTGGAAATACATTTTGCATAGCAAGACTGTAGGTGATCTACAAATTAAAATTGAGGCAGAGTGTGGATCAGTTTTAAACTACTACAAAAATAGGTCAGTGAACTCTGACTCCATTATTTCTACCCGTGAAAAGCTATGGAAGGCTTTTT